ATGTACTCGCCGATTGCAGCAATTTGTGTATACTTTCCAGTATCGTGTATTTTTCATATGAATTATGCTTCCGAGAAAATTCATGCTTCGGAAAAACTTATACACATGAAAAGTAACATTTGCATTTACGTCTGATATTTACTGTCATTATGTAGTTGTTTCTTTGCCATCGATTTATAAATAATATAATCTATATAATTTATTTGTCTATATATTTGGAACTCTTGTGCATTTTAAAAACTTTTTCCTCAATTTTTCGATATTTTAATTTTTGTTTAAATTTCCATTTCTCAGTTTTATCCATCAATTTCCTTAATTTTGTAAGGATATATCGATGATGAACATCGCGGATGAACATGTCGTAATGAGCGACCTCAAATTTCACGAATGAGCGAGTTCGTTTCCCATCGAAGGGTGCGGACCGTGCGCTAAATTGCGCGTGAAATGTGAATACGCGTAGCTTGCTGCCGCTTGTCATCCCGGAAAAAAAAATTTTTACCGGATTCTGTTGTCGTTATTTCGAAGAAGGCAATAATGCGAAATATGTCTCATCGTCACACATTTAATCGATATCTAAGATCAATTTTCGAGCAAACCGATTTTAGAGCTGTCATTATATTCAAAGGTCCAATTTCCCTATAGTCATTGAGTCGAATTAATGTCTGGAATTATTTAAAACTGAAAAAAGAACCGGACAATAGAAAATCGCAGCGGCAATTAAAAAGTCTCTCGGGAGAGATTAGCTAATAAAGTACCGTACTCCCACGGGAAACTTTGCGAGAAGTTCGCAATGGCTAATTGCATTTCTCCTCAAATCTTCCACTCTCTCCTCGTAATTGCTACAATGAACACATCGGTTTACGTGAATTTCGAGAAATTTCTGCCAGAATTCGCGTACGCGAATTTTTATTCCGCGTCCTTTTCGGAACTTCGTCGACTGGAAATTAACGGCGAGAAAGTAGGGGGGAAAAAGGCGCGGTCTCTAATTTAAGAACCCTCCCTAATCTCTTCCGCAATTAAAGTGCTACGTCACGTTCGTGAGAAAATTACGCGTAAAAGAATTCTCGTTAGAGTTCGTTCTTTTTTACCATTCTTTGTCATCTCGTTATTCCCGACTGGCATTCTAGCCTCCGCGCCTTTTTTTAACCTCTCGCTCTTTACGGCGGCTCTTAGAAAATTCAACAAAGGACCTGGGTACTTAGTACTTGAGTAAAACGGGTCAAATGTCGTCGCGTAAAAGTGATGACGTACGAGATATAATCGTTCTAAAACTGCTCTCACGTTGTAATTGACGATGGTGTGGATGTGAAAAGGTGTTACATGCTTTTCTCTCTGTTAAAATTCGATCGCAAATAAAATGCAAATTGCTCGTGGAAGAAAAGTCATTAATATGCCATTATCACGCGTAACGTACTGTTTTTCGACTGTCTCGGTTGCCATTTGCGAAAGTACTTGAGTCTCTGTGCGTTTTACTACCTTACATCTACAGCTTACATAATTGTTATCTTAAATCTATTATTTTTTTCGTTCATTATACCATAAATTGTAAGTAATTTTATTTTAGGAGAAAGTAAGCGCTACGCGCGTGCCGGTCGAAAAAAGACAAAAGAAAAGAGATTAAAAACATGTTGTTAAATAAAAAAAATATACAGATCGTGAAAGAATGAAACTAAAACAAATTCGCGGATGACGAAGTATTCATGCAGCAGTTATGTATTCGCAATTATATTTTATTTTTTTCACAAACTTTAAAATATCTCTTTACACGATAAAAACGTATAATTCCTTTATAAAAAAAAATATATTCTCCTTTCTTAGAAAACAAATCTGTAACTTACTAAAAAAGCAATTTTTGACTCTTTTTCTGAACGAATACTTTGTCACACACGTATCAAAATGTAATCTTCCGACAAAAAACAGTCGGGAAATTTCATTAATTTACGTTAGAAATGCGGAACAAGTGTGGGAAAAATAATCGAACAAAAAAGAGAAACAAGAAAAAAAAAAGGAAAAGGAACATAGAAAGACTTAATCTACAAGTGAAAAATCGACCGCGGCACGGTTCTCGTGTATCGCGTGAGAGAGCGGGCAGTGCGAGTTGCATTTCTCATTATATCCTGCTGGTTTCCTTACCTTTTCGGACACTTTGCGAGGTCCTTTTCGAGTGGCCCCCTCAGTGTCCCACGATCAGCCACGATATGCCCGTTTGTTAATCTCTCTCGCTCTTTCTCCCGAAAGAGACAAACTGACCGACCGATCGATCGATCATCTGTTCTTTTTCTCTATCGCTCGCTCTCTCAGATTTTTCAATCAACTATTCTCAGTACGAGTCTCTTTCGCTCGCTCTTTTCTATCTCTTTACTCTCTCTTTGTCTCGCGCAGAAGCTCTCTATGGGACAACAGGAGATCTGCGTGAGATACGACCGTATTTTGCGATTGTCCGTTATTTTGCTTTGCTTCGCTTTTGGTTACTTTGTTTCTCACAGTAGCCGAACCAGCCACACAACGGGCCGGATTGTTCAACTAGCGGATTTTCCAGCTCCTTTGTATGCGGTTCGTTTACTTGTCGTTCGACGATCGCATTGTTTCGAGCGCGTCCACCCCTTCAACTTCGTTCATTTTGCATCCGAGGCACCGCCAACGCGAATCTTTTTCCGTTTCTTGTTTAACAAGATCGTTCTCAGACCGAGGATGACAGTAATGCAAACGAGAATTTAAAACGTTCGACACTTCAATGTGACGTTCCAGATCCGCGTTGGCAAGCAACCCCGATGCGTCTCTTTTTATTCGCTTTGGGTATTACTCGAGGATTCTCGAGGCGAGAAGATTGGCAACGGTATTTTGTCGTTATTTTCGAGATCTGTCACTAGAAATTTTGTTTGACAATTTAATAGAAAAATGCGTTCGTTTTATGAAATTTTTGCTTCGAAAATTCGTACGATCTTACGAAACTATCGTTTATTAAAAGATTAGAGATTTTCAATTTTTAATTGAACCATTAAAATTGCCGTAAGAAAGATCTCCTGATCAAACAGAGACGTTACTATCGAATCGAAACAAATCCGAAGAAGTAATCATTGACCGTGGTTTAAGAATATAATCCTATTACGTCCGAAAAGCTATATAATGACGACAGAGGAAGACGCGGCGGATCTTCTCGGAAGCAATTTCCCTTGCGTCGTTCTTTCGACAATCCTTTCAAAGCATGAAGAGAAGAAAGAAATGGACGACGACAAATCTTATTAGCTTTACCGAGATATTAAATTTTAATTGAAATAGATACAGAGACAATCGAAAGATTCTCGATTCGCGTATTTACGTAATATCAAACGGTGTATTTCGAAGGCGCGTTTGTCAGTTAAATGAAACTAAAGCGATGGTTCACGCGACGTGTATGAGACCTGCTCCGGCCGCCAGAGAAGATAACTAATCGAGTTGTTCAATTAGGCTAAACCGTTGTTGTTTGGTATCAGCATCGACGCAGCAGATGCTGCGGTTATCGCGGTGGCAGCCGAGAGCTATGAAAGCCATGCGCGATGATCAAAACTGAGAGCTGTCTGTACTACAGACGAAAATGTCAAGATTTTCAGTGCAACAAGAACAGAATTATTACGCGCTATGTATACAATCATTTTTAATTACAAATTAATAATCACGAGATAAGATAAATAAATAAATTATTAATCAATTAATTTATTTCATTATTAATATTATATTATATCCTTCTATTTAAAACATGATATAATGAAAGTGTGAAGTCTACCACTTTTTGACACAATCGTTGCCATATTTTATCGCCTCGTTTATCCTCCGATCGATCCGACGGAGCTTTATCAAATTCATGCGTAACTATCGAGTGGAATACAGTTAGTTTGAGACTACGCGAAGATAATTTCCGAGCTCGAGATACATTAATGAAAAAACTTTCTGTTGCGAATCCTCACAAATGTATAAGCGCGCACGTTTCAAAAATCTATAAGATAGCGTATTGCGATAGAAAAAAAAAAAAAAGAAAAAAAAGAAAAAAGCAAATATGCGTATGAAATGACTCGCAGATAAATCGTCCGACAAGGACTTTCTCCCGTACCAATTTTCACCGACCAAGTGGCCGGTCAATCGAAAAGAGAACTTGTTGATCATTCGAGGCTCTCGAACGGAGATCGAGGTTCGCCAATCGGTGGCTCGCGCGCCACTCGTCGATCCAATCGAGTGGCCATCAATCAGCTTGATCCAGGCCACGAGAGAAATCTCTTACTCTTGACTCCCCCACCTCCCCGCCTCTTCGCACAATTCAACTCTCTATTCTAGAGCCCACGAAATTACCTCGCGTTTGGTTAATTACCGCAATCTAGCCCGTCTCTCTCTCCCGAACAAAAGGCTCCGTCGAATCGCGAGAGACGGATTGTCGATATCTCGAATCGTAGCCGTTTCACGTAAAACGGTGATCTATGATCTACGATTACGTCGCCAGTCCGACATCTCGATCTTATCGCGATTTAACTCTAGTTTCTTACATCTACAGTCTTCGGATCGCACGCGTGTCCATCTTTGACATTAACACCATTTATATCCTAGAATGCAAGCAGAGAGCATTCATAATAAACTGAAATATTAACGTCAATGAATTAATAATAATAGCTCCTCGCATATATCATTAATTATGAGGCGATAAATATTGAAGGGACTTTATAATCGCGACAGGTGCGAAAGATGGACATTCGTCGGCTCGAAGAGTCTGACTTAGAACTATCGGGCGACCACCATATTTACTCGATGAAAAATTCGCGTTTTGAGAATGAATCTATTGTAAATTTATCGTGAGATCGGACGAATCGAGTTTTACATCGTGGTCGCCGTTTTATGTCACGGCGAGTGCGCGCATTTTGAAATGCGCCCACTCGACTTTCCTGAAAGAAAACACATCTATACGAAATGGATTAATGGCGATGTATATATATATGTATGTATATATATATAAGTATAAGAAAGTTCATGCACACCTCAATCTTTCTGCCCTCAACCACGGTGCCGTGTAGCCTCTCACGTGCCCGGTCCGCGTCAGCACTATTTGCGAATGTTACAAAACCGAATCCCTGCATGCAAGGACAGACAAAACAACATGCATTAAACTCAACTTACAGACTGCCAGCGCTTCGCAAAAAGCCGACTGGCTGGGCCGACATTTCGTCTTTGCGCGCGCGTGCACATATAATACGCGCGCGCTTACGCGTTCTATATCACGTATACGTATAATATATGTACACGCTATATAGGAAGGGAAAAGTGTACATATGTGGGGAATACTCCGAAGGAGATCGCCGGGGCGCGATATCAGGGGAAGAGAGAATTACCCATTCTTTCGTGCCACGACAATCTCATTCATTTAAATAAAACGGAAAAGAGAGCGCGTTCCCGTTGGTGTTATATCATATATTATATTGCATTATATTTATCGAAATATAAGAATTTTTATTTAAACAAAGATAAACTTGCGTGAAAAAACATTCGAGATTCACACGTTATCAGAAGGTATAATTATAGGATAAATATTTTTTATCCCCGTCTCATTCAGCTTCGAATTACCAAAAAAATGCTTCTTGATCGTGACGTTTAGTTCTTTACGCTTCTAATTTTCCGACAGGTTTTCGAATATCGTTGTGTATAAACGGTATTTCGAATGGAGATTGATTTTCCATCGAGAACTAGATAGAAGATGAAGAGAGCCCGATTCTTCCGCCCCGGGCGACACCGGCCAGCTTCTTTGTGCTCCTCTCTCTCTCTCTCTTTGAACCCTTCCATCACCCTGAACCCATCGACGGCGGCCTTATTTATTTCTTTGACGCACAATAGTCATCCATCTCTCCCTCTCTTTCTCTGAATCGGCCGTTATATTTCGCGAGACACGCTTTAATTAATTTCCGAGACTCCCTCAATGCGATAAAGCGAAAGAAAGTTTCGTGGATTTTCCTTCATTTACCTCGCGCTTTTTTTATTTTACTATCACGAAAGTAGACATCAATAGCTGTAACCTGCTGCTACTGATATTCTATAATTAACGCTTTATTTTTTCAAAGACTTTTAAAATAAAAGTAAAACTCGATGACGTTCAGTAATACTGAGAAATAAAAACCGCATCATTAATACAAAATAATCGAATTAAGTTTAGAAAAATATTTAGCGATTATTAAAACACGTTAGATGTCACATAGACAGTCTTTAAAACGTAGAGATTTATTCGCACAACAGCGCATATAAAAAATATCAAATTAAAAAAACTTATTTAATTTAATTCAATTGTCCTTAATATTGATGATCTCCTCAAAAAATATTGCAATTGATATATTATGATGTTAATCTAAACAATTTGCAAAATAAAAAAAAATTGCTTTCGTACAAAACGTCCGATTTTTTTCGAGCCAAGGGCTTGGAAGGGTCGAGAGACGCTTTTAGAGGGTTAAAAAAAATCAAGGGGATATATTCGCGTCGTGTCAAGTTCCTCGTTATTTCTATTTCTGTTTTTTATACGATAGGGATACTTTTTCGAAATGTCGACGACCAGGGGATCTGCGAGCGCCTCATACTGCTTACGGAGACGCACCAAACAACGTGCAACAAATAAGTAGATATAAAAATCATGGTAAGAAAATCATGGTCATGGTCACATTAATCATCTCATTATCATATCATATCATATCATATCATGTCATACCACGGTCATCGTCATATCATTAAAGACTCTTGCTTGTATCGAGAGGTGCGTGTACGAGAAAATTACAAAAAATTACAACAAAAAAAAAAAAAAAAAAAACTTAGTATACAAAGCTATTTCAAAAGATTTGATAAAAAAAAAAAAAAAAAAAAAAAAAAAAAAAAAAAAAAAAATTGTTTAATCGGAAGGGAACAAGTTAGACACGCGTAAAGGAAAGTGTGAGGGACAAGGCGAGCAAGGCGTATTGTATATGTGTTAAGTGTGTGTGTGTGTTCCCGTCTATGCGTTACGAATTTTCATCGTCGTTGCGAAAGACGAGGGGAAATTGCGTGGGAGATGTAAAAAGATTAGAATCGAGGGTGCCGTCGAGAAGGGTATGAAGAGACTTCAGTTCGACTCCGGAATATACGCGGCGATATCGCGGCGAACTGAATGGCGCCCTGAATGGCGAATTTCCTAGAAAGAGAGAGAGGGAGAGAAAGAGAGAGAGAAAGAGAAAGAGAAAGATAGATATCGATATTGCACGTATCACGACCGCACGCTATCTTGCGTCGCGGAAGAACATGATTCCTGTCAAGGAAGGGCACGATCGATTGCACTGCCTGCTCGAGAACAGTCAAGTTTCCCCCCTAAAATGTGGCTACCATAAGATATCGCCCTGCGATAACTCGTCGATTTTGTTCCTTACGCCTTACGTTATCACGTCATAAGTTCTGTCTTGTTTTCGCATTCATAAAGTTACTGAATATTACTGAAGATGCGAGTTGTGCGAAACTACTGTCTGATTATTAATGTTTTCGCAGGTTGCTACGGTATAAATTTACGGTTATCGTAATAATAAACAAATGATAATGTCTAGCATAAAATTGGGACGAATAAATAAGCGATCGCGATGGAACGATCGTGATCGATTGCGCTGTCAAAGGATATCAATTTCAACCAGGCATTTCACTATGATAACGCCGTCGATGTCGATATTATCAAGGTGACATATCATCTCTAAAATATGACTTACTATCCCTTAAACATGACTTTATCGAAACTGTGCTTGAATACCGACATTACATACATTAAAGGAAAATACCGTCGATCATGCTGTCCTATGCTATCATTTTATATAGAGATTGGTATGAATTTTATTCATGAACGAAAGTTTTCTTAAAAATCGTATGAATTAAATCACGGCCCAATTTCTCCTATACGATTCAAGACAGAAAGAAATTACTACACAATCATGTCTAAATAATATTACGCCCTAAATTCCGTAGTGTACAATCTTTAATATCCGTCTCGTAAGTGCTAGATCGAAATCGCGAATGCTTTTATCGTTAAAAGGATTTAATCGAAGTTCGGACCAAATTAAATTAACGGAATGGCAGCTTCTTCGTTAGCGAGTGAAAAAGAATGGCGGGATAATCGAGTTTCTTCGTTGTCCTTCGCTCGTGCCATCCGTTTCGTTCTCTTCAAGCGATGAAGCTGTTGTTAGAAGCGGTTACGAGCTCCACGGCTGTTGCCGCGAAAGATCGCATTAAAGCCAAATCAAGTACGGCGTCTGCTCGGTCGGCGACGGCAAAGTTTTCTAATCAACGACGAGAAATGACGAAGAATACCATCTGCTCCTCGGAATACCGCGGAAAATGCGATTTATGAGTAGAGAACGTGAGAAAACTGAAGCTACGTGCGAGCACGGAAAAGCCCTGTCTGCGATATTTTTAAACAGTCGGTTTAAATTTTCAGTGTTCTTTAATAATACGCGCGATAAAGCGTTTCATGATAATTCTTTTAAATTTGAACAACAGCTGGCACTCGTTATTAAATAATAGATACAGTTGCGTAGAAAAGCGACGAGAACAGTTTTGAATCTTGAAGGAAAACGCGAGGAAACGCTTCTCAATGGTAACCCAAGAATTATACGTGGATCAATGAAAGCAAACATTCCGTTAACAATCGTCAAACGCGCAGTTTAATTACAGTTAGAGGTCTCGTTCGAGTATAACGCGCGTTTCAACATATAACAGTATCAATTATTGTCGCGAAAGGGACGGAGGACGCCTCTCGCAGAGTTAACTAGATCCAAACAGAGAAGATATACATGGTAGATTCCTTTGTAACCGGAAATGGAGAACGATGTCGCAGGACAACGGAGACTGGGGCGAATAATTAACAACGCGGTCGGGCTCTTTGCACAGGTATCGCAGAATGTTGACACAGTCGTATGTTTTTCAACCTCCATCGCTCTAACTAAAGTGTATTTAATGGATGCCCATAATTACGGCACGAATCCATATTTCTCATCGAAATGTAATTAAAGTGAAACGCACGTAGAAAAAAAAGATAGGAATACGAGGCGTCTTATGTTCTTTATTTTGGTTTTGTTTGAAAAGGCATCGATGTATAAAATTAAATGTCTCTATGTATTTGCGATATAAGCGGATATTAATATATCTTGATAGACTTAGCAAGCCCTTGTTCTCTGAAATTAATTAAAGAATCAATAAAATATGATATCTGGCATATCATGTATAATCCACTAAAAACTACAAATTTTTGTATTTCAGAAATCACATTTCAAATTCATGGTATCTCAAATTTTAAACATATTTTGAAATCTTTTTCTTTCTTATTATGTAATTAAAAAAAACTGTAGAGCTTTCTGCGCAAAGGATCTTGGTTAATATTTGTTCATAAAATTTTCGCGAATCGTTCCGACGATACTTCAATAAAATTACAATATGCGAGTTTAACTTTCTGCTCTCGTTCGTGCTGGCTACTCGTGTGCGCAACGATGATTCGCATGGGAAATTATCATAATGTCAATTATCACGCTGATATTTTTAGGATTCGAGAACAAAAAACGCGATTCTGTTCAAACTACGGTAGGATTTATTTGCATATCCAATGCATGCGCAACGATTTCTCCGCCGTATAACCATGAATCTATTTCGGATCGTTAACAGTTTTCGAAAAAGAGTGCGATGCTGTCACGAATTCGGTTGCTTCTCGTTTAATACTTTAGTATAATCGCGGTATCGAGGCACGCGGAGGAAAAGAGGAATCATGTAATATTCAAATCACATTTGATCATTATGAGAATATCATTACCGTAATATCTGTTTGATACGAGAAAATCTATCGAAATTCATAATTTAACTGTGCACGAACATTGCTGGATAGATCTTTGGACCATGAGATTCTGTGGTTTTTGCTGAAAATCTAAAAGCTTGATCTAAAAGCTGGATTTAAACGATGAAAGAGTAATGTAGATACGATAAATATTTGCTAAAAGTTTCTCAATTTATGTCGATATCACATGCTCGAAAATAAATTATTTTTTTAATAAAATTTTATACGATTTAACTATATGCATAATTTATATGCATCTTA